GATCTAATAACTGCTCGCTAAAACCCGCACCAGCCCCCAACTCCCTATCAAGCTTCCCCCTATCCCACGACCCGTCCGTCCAGAGGTCGCTCACGAGCAGGTAGGGGGAATGCGACACCTGCCTATCCCTAGACAACGGCCTATCACCTACCCACCACTCATCCCAAACACTGACATCGCCCCCGCCCAAAACCCAAAAGATGTGATCCTGGGCTCGCCTCCCGACCCTAGTGAGGCGCCGCCACTGTCTGCTATCATGATCAACAGCCTTGACCCAACAAGGGTGGTTGGCACGTCTAGGGCAGTACTTGCCGCGAAGGTACTGAGCCCAAAGCGACTTTCCTTCCCTGAAGCGCCACCACAGCTTGTATGAGAAAGCTGTAACTATGTCCCTGAGGCGGCGGATGCCAAGGCCACCCTCGGGGAGGGGGCGACAGATAGAATCCCAACTCACCCAGTGAGTACGTCTCCCCCTCCCAGACCCGTCCTCGTACCCCCAGAAATAACGAGCCATAATCTGATCAAGCTCGTCAAGAGTAGACCTAGGGGGATCGAGGACCATAAACAAATGAATCGGAAGAGAGCTCAGAGTGCTCTTGATCAGCGCTAGCCGACCACCGAAAGAAAGATATCTATGCGACCAACCAGAGATCCTATCGATCATCCTCTGTCTGACGCCCGCAAAGAGCGCTCTCGTGAGGTTGCCCTTGTATAAAGGGACCCCGAGGTAAGTAATGGGAAGGTCGCCACACGCAAAGCCAGTAATGTCGTGGACCCGCTGAGCCCACCTGTCCACGGTGGCAGAAGAGAGGATGAAGGTGCTCTTCTGCACACTGACTAGCTGACCGGTGACCGAGCCATAATGCTCCAAAAGGCGTATAAGCTCGACCAGTCCATCATCATCCGCCCGGGTGAAGATAATGATGTCATCCGCGTAAGAGAGGTGAGAGACGGTAGGACCATAGCCACAGGTGCTATAGGTCATTTGGGGAGAGTCGCGGATGAAGCCGTCAAGGCAGCGAGAGAGGTAGTCCGCCACAAGAACGAAGAGGGAAGGGGAAAGTGGGTCGCCCTGTCTAAGGCCTCTAGATGAGGGAAAAAAATCGGTGGGGCTGCCATTATTCAGGACCGAGAATGTGCAATGCTCCACACACGCCTCCACAAAGCTGATCTAGCGCTCAAGGAATCCCATCCTAGCCAACGCCTCCCTAAGAAACGGCCACTCAACCCTATCATACGCCTTAGCCATGTCCAGCTTCAGCGCGATATTCGGAGCCCGCTTCCAGTCCGCTAGGGAGATGTCATGGATCATCTCCTGGGCCAGAAGGATGTTATCACTAATGACCCGATCCTTGACGAATCCACTCTGGTTCGGAGAGATGAGAGAGGGGAGAAGAGGGGAAAGACGGCCGTTAAGAATCTTCAAAATGAGCTTGTTGGTCACGTTACACAGGCTGATGGGCCTGTAATCGGACCAAGAGCTCGGGTTGGGTCGTTTGGGGATCAAGACGACAGAGGTAGACGTGAAGGAATCCGGCATCCGGTGACCGGAGAAAAAATCCAACATTGCCTCCTGGACGTCAGTCTCGATAATATCCCAGCAGACCTGATAGAAGAGGGAGGGGAAACCATCCGGGCCAGAAACGCTGTTGGGATCAATCCCGAATACAGCATCCCTAACCTCCTCCCTGCTCGGGAGCTCACAGAGGCCAATGAGATCGACCGAAGGAGGGATGGTGGGGAAGAAAGAAGCGTTCGGGGCCACGAGGGAACCTCTGTCAGAAGTGAAGAGGGTCTGGAAGTGAGCGACAGCCGACTCCCGAATCTGAGCCTCCTGGGTCAAGGATGACCCATTAGCCTCGATGCTATGGATGTACGACTTAGTACGCTTCTGCCTAACGTAGCCCTGGAAGAACCTAGTGTTCCGTTCGCCTTCGGCCACCCAGCGAACGGCCGCCTTCTGCTTCCAGAAGTCCTCCTCCATAAGGAGTCGGAGCTGGTACTCGGCGTGGCAGCGGTGCATGGCGGTCCTATTCTCCGGAGTGGGATCCAGATCATAGGCCCGCTCAGCCGACGCATGCGCACTCTGAGTGCAGTAAGGCGGTGATGAAGGTTTCCAAAAACATCCCAGTTCCACTGTCTCAACCGACGCCGCAGTCTGCCGAGCTTCGCCTCGAGATTGCGCATCCCGAAGAGCCCAGTCGGCTGAAGCCAAGAATCCCTGACAGTGTCGTGGAAGGAGTGGTGGCGAACCCACATGTTTTGGAACCTAAAGGAAGCGCGGCGAGGAGTGCTCGAAAAGCGACATCTAATGAGGAGGGGTGAATGGTCAGACCCAAATCGAGTGAGGTGCGTGACGGTCGTGACCGCAAACACCTTCGACCACGCTTCAGAAATCAAAGCACGGTCGAGCCTCTCCTTGAGGCTGTCCCTAACCCACGTGAAGGGCTCACCCTCGCATCCAGCATCAAGCAACTCACAGTCCGCCACAGTCTGCGCAAAATCCGACATCTCTCGGGATCTGTCCGTGCGGCCACCCACGCGCTCATCGGGGTGCAGAAAGATGTTGAAATCGCCACTAACCATCCATGGCAATCCCTCCATACTCTCGGCAATCTCACGCAGGGTGTCCCAAAGATCATATCTCCCGACCCTAGTACACTTGGCATAAACCAAGGTGTGAAAGATGGGCTCTGGGAGGTGGGCAGCGGAAATCTCTACGTGAAGCACCTGATCGGTGTCGCGGAGGACCCGACAAGTGTAGTCACGCGAGTGGAAAAACCAGATCTTGTGAGAATTATTACCCACGCCCGAGTGAAATCCCAGACGACGCGAGTAGTAGTCAAAAGAAGGAGTGCGAATCATCGGCTCAATAAATCCAACGAAATCAACTCTGTGGTCACGGATGAGAGAATGGAGGTGAGAAAGAGTAGCCCTGTTCGCCAGGCCACGGCCATTTTAAGTAATGGATGTGATGGACATATCAACGGTCGCAAGAGCCACCGGACATAGTCCGCCTATGGCGAGGCTGATTCGGGCCGCCTAAAGAATGGGAAGTCGTCCGTCATGTCGTGCGGCGGAAGGGTCCAATAGCAGGGGAGATCGTCCGCCGTCTCGTGTGCTGCATGGCTCTGGTCCTCGAGGTCTGTCTGCCTCGGTATGTACTCGTGGCCTGTGAGTCGTCTGGCTGGACAGACTGACCTATAGCAGCACTAGCGGGTTGCCCCATCTCCGAGGCCGTCTCCTGTCTGTCAAGGTGAAGGAATGCACTAGAGGCGAAGCTATCGCACGAGACGTCATGCTGCGCGCGGTTGAGCCCGCATATCTGCTCGGGGATGGGTAAAAGAGAGGGTCCAACAGGCAGAGCACTCTGGTGGTCGCCGGTAGGAGGAGCTTGGGGGCTGGCTATCAGCTCGACTGAGCTCCGAGTCTCAGCAGGGGGGGTTGGGCCGACTCATCCCCTTTCGGGGGAGTGGTGGCGGCAGTAGCCCTCAAGTCCGAAGATCGGACCGGGCTAGATGCGCGCACGGTCGAAGGACCGACATCGCGCGCACTACCATCGGATAGGTGGATGGACTCTCCCCTGGCCGTAGCGTCCGGCTGGTCCATGTCGTCTCCAAGGAGATCATCGTCATCCAGAAGCGTAAGATCGGTAATCTTAGGTGGTCCGCTGGAGGAAGGAACAGCCTCCTTCTCTGCCTCTGGCGAGAGGATAGCGAAATATGAATGGTTGGCCTTGAAGGCCGTCTGTAAGGTCTGTCGGGGGATAAAACCCATGGTCTTGGGCTTGGGACCCACTAAGGCCAACTGCTTTGGCTGGTTAGGATGAGCATCCTTCCCAGTTTGGGCAGTATCGACAATTACAGTCTTGCCCTTATCCTTAGACCCCTTCGGGGTCTCGGGCGCGCGGAGAGGGCTTTTGCCCTTTCCCTTCGGGTCCCTCCAGCTGGTGGAGGTTCCCTGCTGGGTCGCACGATGGCGCTGCGGGAGAGCGGGCCGTGGCTTATTGCCACTGATGTAGCAATCGGCCGCGACATGACCCACATGGCTGCACGAGGTGCAGAACGCGGGGATCTTCTCATAGATCACCCGCTGAACAAGGGACTCCGAGCCTTGTTCAATCTCTATCTCATGTACGAGATCAGCTCTCAGATCTATCTCGACGCAAAATCGCGCCACGTTAGCCCTCGTCTGAAGGGCCGTCGGGGCGTCAATACGAATCGGCTGCCCAATACACTTAGCTAGTGTAGTGATGGCAGCACGATCGTAAAGATGGGGTGGGAGGCCGGGAAGGCGGCACCACACGGGGACAACCGGCGCCTCCGTCTTCGGGTTAAACCCGGCATAATATTTGAACACCCTAGCTGGGCATCCACACACATGAATGGAGGTCTTAAGCCAGACCTCGTTATAGTCCTCGGGGAGGTGAAACGAGACTAGGAGGTGGTTGAAATTGTACCATTTCGACGACACTCTACCCTTAAAGCCCAGTTTTCCTAATCCAGCAGATATATCTCGGGGGGCGGGGATAGCATATGAAAACTTAAAGACCAGGGTGTTATTCAGCTTACCTGCAAGAGCGACAGATTCGGCGTCGGTGAATCGGGCCTTGACTTTGTTCTCCTCCGAGCGGATAATGGTCCCGCAAGCATGCTCGTAATTCCCGTCAAAGGTAAAGTCCTTGGGTGTCGGCCGCGGGGCACCCGTGCCATCATCTATCTTCCCGGTAATAGCTTCTCGGAAGGAAAGCGGGCCAGTGGAGGTGCCCGAAAGAGATCCGGTCACAGCATGGTTTGGCGTTGGGGGGCCCGTCATCGGTGTCCCGTTAGTGGGAGGACCCGAGAATTTGGCCGTGGACGTCTTGCTTGGGCCCGCAGTGGATGCTATTCCGTCAGGTTTTTTCGCTGGCGGGAGTGAAGATGGCCGGGGTCCGAGTATTCCTGCCATAAACAGCTCCGGGATCTCCTCGGGTGAATGGGCGACCAACTTTATTTTCCTAGAGGTTGCGTCGTCGCCGGCTCCGGTGGAGGTGAGGTGAGCGCCGTCTACCGGTGGATTGTTGTTGTCGGCCATGTTGCAGGTCTGTTCTTTTTCTGTGGCCGTGATACCGGCGTCGGGTGGTTGGTTTGCATGTACCGGTTGGATGACGTTGAGTTGGCCGGCGGAAAGATCCTGCTGTTGGCAGATTTTAGGAATGGTAATGGGCTGAGGGGGGTGATGTGAGGTAGCGGGCTTGATGGCTTGTAGAGATTGTGGCATATTGGGTTTAATTAATACGGATGATGTGGTTGTAGATTGGGCCGCAGTTTGTGTGGTGAGTTGAGAAGGAAGGCTGGGCCCAGAATATGCGGTTTGGCCCAAAGTGTTGGAATGGCCCAAGAGTTGTTCCCTCAGCTGAGATGATGCCACGTTTCTGCTCGGTTTTGTAAATCCTATTACTTGATCAGAGGATAAAAACTGAGCTGAGGGTAAATGGCGCTGACCGGTCAAAGTGGCGGCTGTGGTCACCATTTCCGACGAGACGGCCCCTAGCGGTGGAGCAAACGACCCGAACGTGAGCGGCGATTCTGCTGGACCTGGTGATAGGCCCTGTGATTGGATGACCGGTAATTCTTTACTATTTCTTCCTACTGAAACCGTCACTGAAGAGAGGCCGTTGGACATCGGAGGAGTGGCGGTGGAGGTTATCTTCTCCGGCGAGGCGATTTGCAGTGGTTGAGAAGGCGACCCGATAACGAGCGGGGACTTATTATCCCCAATTTTTGGCTTGCCGTTTTCTGCTCTCGACCCTAAGGAAGTCTCCAGTCGGACCGTTTCAGTTGCAGTCTTCTTCTCTGTCTTGCCATCCAGCGAAGCCGTCTCAATATGCTTGTTCTCAAAGCTGTCGACTCTTGCAAATTCTTCCATATTTTTTCTTTCCTTTTTTGAATTTATGGTATTGTTTTTTTTTGAGGAAAGCCAAGAGGGCTTCTCGGAATTCCGATTGAGAGATGAAAAGCTCCAAATCTGACTCTTGAATGGAAGGTGGAGCTTGCCTGTTGGCCAGAGGGATGGCCGGGGGGGCCATGGTTAGCCGGAGATTAGAGGACTGAACCAATTTAAATTGAGGTTGGACAAATAGGATAAAAACTGTAAATGTGTTTTTGATTTTCTTTTGTATTTTTTGTCTCAGTGAGAGGAGGGGTTGGCCGGGCATCGGCCGGCGCCGGCGCCGGCTTGCCTGAAAGCTGGAAACTGGACAGGAAAGTTGAGATTTTGGGCAAAGAGGGGTGAATTTGGGTGTAGGATTCTAGAGAGAAGGGAGAGGGTTTTCCTAGAGAGAGAGGGAGCATGAGGGTTTTCTTTTGTCCTAAACCTAGCAGCGAGAAAGAAATAATCGAGAAAGAAATGTTGCTAGGTTATTTCTTTCTCGCTGCTAGGTTAGTTGTCTTTTGTTGCTAGGTTATTTCTTTCTTGCTGCTAGGTTAGTTGTCTTTTGTTGCTAGGTTAGTTGTGTTTTGTTGCTAGGTTAGTTGTTCTTTCTTGCTAGTTTAGTTGTTCTTTCTTGCTGCTAGGTTAGTTGTGTTTTGTTGCTTAGTTGTCTTTTGTTGCTAGGTTATTTCTTTCTTGCGCTAGGTTAGTTGTCTTTAGTTGTTTTCTCGCTGCTAGGTTAGTTGTCTTTTGTTGCTAGGTTATTTCTTTGTTGCTGCTAGATTAGTTGTCTTTTGTTGCTAGGTTAGTTGTGTTTTGTTGCTAGGTTATTGTTGCTAGGTTATTTCTTTCTTGCTGTTAGGTTAATTGTCTTTAGTTGTTGATAGAAATTTTATATCATAAAACACATAGATACATCTAGAACAGCTCAAAAGCCGAAAAGACAGCTCAAAAGCTGAATCTAGTGGGAGGACAGATCCAAAGGATCGCCTAGAACTCACCCACTAACAAAACAACACAAACTCCACAACTGGAGAAAGAGCTCCCCTACGGGAGAAAGAACTCCCCAACGGGAGAAAAAGCTCCCCTACGGGAGAAACACATTCCCCTACGGGAGAAACTACTACAAGCTAAACAACAAAACAACACAACACGACAATCCCATTCCCGCAACACTAATGAAATTGTTTGACCGCCACCCCGAATGGCAATCAATAAGCGATCGAGCCCACCCAGGTTAATCATTCAACTCCATCAGTGCCAAAAGACGGGCCTAGGTAAATACATCACAATAACAAAGNTAGGTAAATACAAACCAAGCAACAACTAGAAACACTAGAAGAAACTAACTGAAATATACCCAAAACTAAAAACGAAAAAAAAAATATATATATAAACTAGAGCCCTCCCCTACGGTCACGAATTACCAACGGAACTTCACCACGCGAGACGAAGGCCGAAAAACGACCCCTCCAAGCCTGGCCAATGCCCAAAATGCACCCAAGAAGCAGATCTCGACACTTCCTTCACCGATAGGATGAAGGGTACCATAGATCTACCTCGTAACAGACCGGCCAACCTCAGAACCACCCCGGAAGCCCACACCAAATCTATCTCCCTCCCACAATCCAGCGGGTGACCCAAGAACTGCCCAAGACGCAGAGGCCTCCACCGGAGAGCTTTCACCATTCCAACACCAGGAATCGGAGAAGACAACAGAGGGAAGCACCAACGCCGGCCAAAACACCGCCTATCGCGATGAGACTAGCGATGCCCGCAATCCCGCCCTCTCCACCGGTGGGTCTCCTCAAAAACCGCCGCAGCAACCCGGGAAGGACGACATCTGCACCGAGAGAGAAGACCGCACAGGGGCGAGAACCTCGAACCGCACTGGAGCAGGTACCCACGGTGGTGGAGCTGCGCTAATCGACCAAGAGGAGGCAGCAAAATTGACAGATCTGGTTTTTTGTTTTTAAGGGAGAGAGGAGGTTTTGTAGAGAGAGAATTTTTATGATATAGAATGTGATTATATTAAGTCAAACTCACATTTTGTTGCTAGGTTAGTTGTTCTTTCTTGCTAGTTTAGTTGTTCTTTCTTGCTGCTAGGTTAGTTATGTTTTGTTGCTATAGTTGTTCTTTCTTGCTAGTTTAGTTATTTTTTCTTGCTGCTAGGTTAGTTATGTTTTGTTGCTAGGTTAGTTATGTTTTGTTGTTAGGTTAGTTATCTGATGCTTGCTGCTAGGTTAGTTATTAAGTTTTGTTGCTAGGTTAGTTATCTGATGCTTGCTGCTAGGTTAGTTATGTTTTGTTGCTAGGTTAGTTATCTGATGTTGCTAAGTTAGTTGTGTTTTGTTGCTAGGTTAGTTGTCTGATGTTGCTAAGTTAGTTGTATTTTTTTTTATAAGAAAATTGTAACCCATAAGATTTGAACCTGGTACCTCATGGAAGCAAGAAAGCAATGCAACCACTACACTACTAAAGGTTGAGTGTTTTTTGTTGCTTGGTTATTTATTTCAATGCAACGGGTCAACGCCGGAAGTCAACAGTCAACGCTGGAAGTCAACGGCGGAAGTCAACGGTCAACGTCGGAGTCAACTAATAATTATTTTATTATTTAATTAATGTATATTTTAATTGATTTTAATCTAGACATAATGAGTGGCTAAGATTGAGTCTCACGTACTTATTTTAAGGAGTGGTCTCATTGGATCCATCCTGTATATATATGCGTTGAGGGTTCATGTGAGTTAATATCGGAATTTAGAGAAAATCTCATTAAAGTGATGTTGGACTCTCGTAGGTTGTTTAAATGTCAGTATTATTGAGCCTCAGCCTTCGGTTTGTTTTGCCGAGAATCTTAGCTGAGAAATTCAAGCTATTGGGCGTCTTAACATTCGAGAATGTTCAGTTTTATGCCACTGTTTGAGAAATTTTTGACACCTTAAGTTGTTAGGGATTTTGAATGATAAATAAATAATTCGTTGGAAATTTTGAGTTAAATTCCATGAATTAGTGCTCTTAACTATTTTCAAAATAGTTGGATGTAATGCCTTCCAGTGATTGAAATCAAGTTCATTTCCAAATTTGAGCCAATCCTTTTATTTCGTAAATTGTGTTGTAAAGTACCGAACAATTGTTGGTTTTTAATGGGATTTTAACCTCTGTTAGTATGTGTTTTATACCTGGTATCATGAGTTTTATGTGCATTAAGAACTTGACAAAAATTAGTGTCCAAATGTCTTGAAATTATTTTGGAAAAATTAGTTTCTTATGAAAATTATTCTAGTCTTGTCCTTGTTTTAAAAATGGGTTTTTATAAAATTATTCGAGCCTAATGTTAGAGATTTTAATAAGAGTCCGAGTCGAGAGTTTCAACGCCTAAGAAAGAAAAAATTTTTATAAGTCGTGAACCTTGAGCTAGGAAATCCTTCAAATTGGTAAATTAGTTTACCAAGTTAAGAGTTAGTTATTTATCCGCGTGTTGCTTATGTTTATGTAGATTCTGAGGAGTCGAGCCCTCAAATTTTCACCTAACTGCCTAAGCGACGAATCTCAGTTTCAGTTCAGAATATCCATGTGGGTTTTATTTAAAAAAAATGTCTATGCCATAAATTATTTACATTCGTTGAATTGCGTGATCAATGTATGCGTGTGAACCATGTAACCCTCGTTGTGAGCTGTATGTCCTTCGAGCGGTTGTCCCCGTCGTTGTGAGTTGTATGTCCTTCGACGGTGCCTATTGATAGGAAGTCTCCCCAGCCTAATGATAGGCAAGGCCGATGTGAGCTGTATGTCCTTTGGTATTTTACTCCCATTGTTGTGAGTTGTATGTCCTTCAATGGCTAATGTTAGATGTGCACATGAGTAAAAATGTATGATTAGGAGATGTGATAATTGATTGATTCGTGTTCATACTGCGACCATGCCTAACTGTTATTGTACATGTTTTGTTGCATAGTGGTGAGCACTACGATTTCCAATTGTGCTCATCCCCACATAAAATTAACGTTTCAGGTTAAGAAAGGCGGGCACGACGGCAGAATGACGAGTGGATGGTCTTATTCATGTTTAATTTGCTTTCGCCTTATTTTTGAATAAATTGAACTGGTTGTGAACATGTTTAATTGGGGTCTTGTGAACCTTATGTTATGATCTTTTGGACATGTTAAATATTTTCGAACTATGTTTGGATATTCATGAATATGCGTTATTTGAATATCACGTGGAGGTTATGTTTGGGACAATGAAGTCTATGTGAAAAACCGGGTAATGAATTCCCATGAGGTTTTAATTTCGCCTAGTTAATGTTAATTTCGAGAAATGAATATCGAAAATGTAACCTGATTTTTGAATAAGCCATGGATTATTTCTTAAATCAAATTGGGGTGTTACATTTAGCTTCAAAAGGCATGATTTATATTGCTAACGATTCGGCCATGAGTAAGTTTTGCAGTTATTGATGTTTGTTCGGGAGTTTTGGTTTCGTATGTGCCAAATAGGCCCTATCAGACCATTTTAAAATCTAACCGAGGTCTTCTAGGGTTTCTATGTATTTTTGAGTATTTTATATCATGTTATGGTGGTTTCGGTTGCATGTAACCAGAGAAGTTGCCGGACGGTCGGTAAGGTTCGGTCATAGTTGCTGGCCACGCATGTAGCGTGCGCAGCGCCCAGGTCTGGGTTCACAGAGCCAGTCAGTCTCTGCGCGAACAGTCCCGGCGCCAGTAGCGCCCAGCGCGTGCAGGCAACGCCTGACAGCGCTTAGCTTGTCCCAGTGCACGCGGTATCGAGTCCAGTGTGCGCAGTCTTGGGTCCAGTTGCGTTCGGTCGTGCCCAGCAGCACGCCAGAGCGTTCAGTTGGCCTCGGCAGCTCCCAACAGCGCCCGAGTTACCCTATCCGTGCCAGTGCCGGCGCGAGTAGTGCCTGGCAGCGCCTGTCCGCACCTAGCTGCGTCCAGTACCGCACCCAGCCGTGCCAGCAGCGTCTGGCCATACACCTAGTCATGCCAGCCTAGTTAGCTCCGGTCAGCAGCGTCCGCCCGGCCCACAGTGAATCGGCGGACCAAGTTAGACCGGTTTAGCCCAGTCCGGTCCAGTTAGTGAGCGAACCGACCGATTCGGCCGGCGGTTCGAGTTATTTTTGGTTCGTATGTTCGGTCCGAGTTGTTTTTCAAATTCTTTTGTATATTTTTGAGCCAAATTAGTTTAATTTAAGTTATATCAGTTAAATCCCAACTTAGTATAATTTTATAGTGAACACTTAGAGAGTTCCAGTTAATCCGGATAAGTTAAAAATTAAAAATCGAGCATCATAGCATTTTATTGAGTATTCGGAGCATAGCACTTAGTATATTATTTGCTTATATTTTTATGTAGCTTGAGAAGACAGCTATCCAGTGCAGCATTTACATTCCAGTATAGGTGGGGACCCAGACTGGTTATTACATGGACTATAATATCTGATATCATCTCCAAGGTATGTATATTTACAGTAACCGCTTAGGGTGGCAGCCCAGTGTGCCTTAATATTCCATCCTAAGTTCTGGTGGTGGCCTAGTGTGCCTTAATATTCCACTAGAGTGTGTACATGGTTACTGTAACGCCCCACTCTGATTTTAAAAAAATTCTGGACTTTCAGAAAAATCAGAATAAATTTTTTAAAATTTATTTCAAACATTTGTGGCGTTACTCATATACTTCAAATCATTACCATAACATAAATCACCTAACTCCCAAAACGGGATTCATAAATCCATAAATCATCAATTCGCCCAAATTGGGTTCCCAAAATAAAACATAAGTTTTCAAAACATAACAATGTCAACGGGGCATCTCCCCAATAGTATCTCAATACTTCATAAATTCTCAGAGTTCGAAAATTCATATATCATAAATAATCATAAGTATAACGGAAGCAAAATCAATTAATAACCGGTCTCATAGACCGACTACCACTCGCTCTACTCCGCCGTCGTACCCGCCTTGCTTAACCTGAAACGTTAATTTCAGGTGGGGATGAGCACAGTTGAAAATCGTAGTGCTCACCACTATGCAATAAACATTTTCATAACATAAACAATAAAAGAGATAGTATGATCACAGCATGTATAACAATCAATTAAGTATCCCAAGTTTTCAACATAAATTCACAGTGTTCAGACTCATGTGCACATCTATACTAATAGACTACTGCCGGTAGATGTATCGAAGGCCCTCACTCGGGTCATGCTTCGAATGCCCCATGGGCTCTACATCTATGCCCTTCGGTCTTATACACCGAATGCCCCATGGGCTTCTATCGATGCCCAGTCAGTAGGAGTAACCCCTCGGGTTTATTTTCATAAATACGGAACAACCGTTCGACGGCTGGTACAACTCACATCGAAGGCTACATGATTCGTAAGCACACATTGATCATACACAAGTAAGGCATAATTTATTGCATAGACAATTTTAATAAAACCCACCTGGTCGAAGAGAAAATTCACAGTCAAGATTCTCGAAAGCAGGGAGAGGTCAACACCTCACAATACCTACATTAAGTCAAGATACTAATATTAACATCTTATCTTGACTTAAAAAGGAAATCACAATTTGACTTAGTCGATCCTGATTCGACTAAGTTGTTCGTGAAGTCCTGTGGACATTGGAACACTTAGACTCAGCTCTAAGACTCAACCAAATATGCATGAAAGTTCACATAATCTCAATCAAAGATTTACCAAGTCATACAGACAAAGATTAGCATGCGAGTCGGTTTATAGTTTTTAACACAAAAATTAGATTTTCGAAAATACTAGCCAATAATCACAAAATTTAGTTGGTCAGGATGCCCTATGAATTATACTCTGAAATGTTTACAAAATTCACCTCCCAGTACTTAGAAAAACCACCAAGTTTCAGCCTCAAATTCAAAGCACATGATTTTATAAAATTCCAGCAAGTTTGCAGCAAAAACGAGCATCAATTTAAAACCCGACTGAATGAATGATTCAAACTCTGAAATGTTTATCCAAGGAATATCAGCATGTGAACAACAGTGTGTAAAAATCTCATCTTTAAACACCTAACACTCGAATAAATAAAATTGTAACAACATTCAGCAGATTTCAGATTTTCAACAGAACTGAACCTAAATGAACTCTAAAAATTCCAATATTTTTACAGCATGAAACACATTACAAAATAAGCACTTTTACCAAAAATCAGATTTTTCAATATCAGATCATTTATCATAATTAAAAATGTTTTTGGCAGAATCACAAAATAAATTATTTCCCTTAGCAAACTGAGTCCAACAATTTTGAAAATTTTACACAACATCTAAACATGCCAGATACACAACATACTCGAGTTTTAGCCAATTTGGAGCACACATCAATTTATTATGCAATAAACCTGCTTCTGCTCAGAATTTAACACAATTATTAAAAATAGCTACAGACCAAGTAAAATTATGAAATTTGTACACGAGCTTCATAATCAACAGATGCAATTACACCCAATATTTCATGGTAATCGGAGCAGCATACGATTTTTTATGAATTAAACACGAAAACAGCAATTTACGAGGTCAACAAATTATAAACGACTCGACAAAACTGGAAAGGGTCCGAGGCCTTACCATGAGGCCAAGAACACGTTATTCCAATTCCCACAACGACTTAACACGTGTATACATGATCTCATTTGAGTTCGCATGAACCGAAGAGATCGATACATAATCAAATTATAACAAGGCTCTACAATTTATATCAATATCAACATATTGAACACAGATAATCATAGGCATATGTATACTTGCAAAATCACATATACACATATAATTGACACTTATCATCAAAAGAAAAGAGATAGCCACCCATTACCGTTCACCATACGAGAGACAAGGAACAAAGTTGAAGGGCTCGGTTCTACCGGGTTGCT